GTCTGAGAAATTAAGACACAAGCACAAGAGGGGCAAGAAGATCTGTAGAAAAAAAAAGAATGGGACTGAAAAGAAAGACGATAATTCCAGCAGTGGCTGGTGAGGTTTGAGTAAATGTTTTATATCAGTGCAGATAAACCTTAGTGATACACTGTGTTAGGAACTCTACCTTTGTCTTTAACAGCTAAAGGCATTTGCAAGAACGTCTTGGAGCTGTTCTTAGTTGGACTGGAGAGACCAGCTACACTGTCCGAGAGCTGCCACAGCAGCACGGTGGATCAGATTTTGCTCCAAAATGCATGTGAAGCAATTTCATGATGATGACGACGACTAGTCACAGTTCATTTGCGTCTGTAAATAAACTTGGTGCAGCACTGTGACACTGGTAATGGTAAACAGGAGACAGTAGATCTGGTGGGAGGTGAGAGGGCAGGGCAAACAGGGACACAGCCAGGGAGGAATGGAGGAGTAAAGGACAGGAGTCAAAGATGGATGCTGCTGTAGATATGTGTGAGGAAATGAGGAGTGTGTGTCTCCTTGTGAGAGCATCATTGAGAGTGATGGGTCTCTCCATCTGCCATTATCTTCCCACAGAACTAATTACAAGGTGATGGACAGTAGACTAATCACTAGGGTCACAATCTCTTTAAATTAGCTGGATTGTTGTGTCACACCTGGTGTGATGGAGAAGGAACAGGGGGGGGGGGGCTTGCATGGCAGGAAAGGAACAAGGGTTAAAAACACAGCATAGGAGAGCACACAAAAGAAGAAAGTGAGAAAGCCCTTCTTCCCCTCTCCTGTTCCTCTCATGTCATTATTTTCCCTCAGCTGTTTCAGGATTTTGTTTTGTCAGTGCTATCTCTGTCTTTGTTCTCCCTTGCCCTCATCTCTCACCTTATTTCAGCTTGCTGCCTTTTCTCTCTCTATTTTATTCCTCCCAGGCATCGGCACTTGTTCTGCTAAATGAAAGCGACGCAGGCTTTGTTATTTCAGACAGGATGCCTTGGGAAAACTAGTAGGGTTCCTGAGCATGTGTTAACCACGCCCACTCACTGCATTTCTCATTCGATATTCAAGCAGAAACAAAAGGTTTCAAAGACATTTTTCTATCCTTTTTTTTTTTTGTCAACTTCTGTTCCTCTTTAATATCTGGATGATGGTTCCTCCGGACTGTCGCAGCCCTCAGCTTATTCTTTGGTCCCTGTCCTCACATCAAGTTCCTCATCAAGACAGATCTATAACTCTTTGTGCCTTGTCTGCACCACTGTTTCTCATTTTACCCCTCTCTCGTCTCACGTGTGCTCATAAAAAAGCTGTGGGCTGTGTACATTTGTATGCCTTTTTAACAAAAACAAAACTCAGCAAACCATGTCTGATATTTGGTTGATGTGAGAAGAGGACTAGCCTTTCATGGAGAAGTCAAAGCTCAGGGGCAGCTGAGCAGCCCTGGAGCTGGTCATGGACACTTAAGAAATATGGAACCCAAAGTTGACTATCATGTCTAAGAAGGAAAAAGAAAGCTCAGGATTACAAGTAATAAAACATGATTTATGGATCTGTGACCAGAGGCAAATGAAAGCCAGCTGTGCTACACACTCACTCTGTCAAACCATGTCACAGATGTTTCTGATTTTACAGGGGTCAGGACTAAACACCTGAATGGTCCACTAAGGCATCATCAGCCAGGACTAACACAAGAAACTTTTTATATGTACAGGCTGCCACGTCTGTCTTATAAAGCAGGACACAAACTGAAGCCCTCGGACACACGTGTGCCTCAGTGGCACAAACCTTGGCTCCAGTGATCTTGCTCTCTCTGTCTGTATCCCTGCCCAGCCTGCTCCGATGATCCTGTCATCATCACACCCTTAATGCATCTCACCACACTCTACATTTCCTGTGGCATGCCATCCATCTACCTAATGGGCCAGCAGGGTGTGGCTGGCCAGTCATCAATTGTGCACACTGCTTTTGTCTGTGTGTGTGTATTTGCACAGTCATGTTTCTTTTAAACCACTGTTTGCACCAGACGATACGTAAAGTCACCTGTTTATGAATCTGTATTTATCTTTTTCCATGTATGGCTGTGTTGGAAAGTTATACCCAACCCTTGTTTACACCTACACTCACAGTCACTGTGTTGCTATGAATGTGTTTATGCCACTGGCAACTGTGCATGTGTTGTATGCGCTGTAGGTGTGTGTGTATTGTCAGTCCCAGTAAACTCTCTAACTGCGTCTGCCATTAGGCCATTATGGACTGTAACTGAATCCTCTGAAAGCTTGAATCCACTTGTGGAGAGCGATGATGGATGGGCGTGTGGAGGGATGAGAGTAGTCATGTTGTAGCTGGGTGGCTGTAAAAACAACTAGAGAAGTGGAGTCCACAGAGAGGTGTGGAGGAGAGGTAGAGGACATCTGAGGTGTTTCCCACTGTACCAGGCCCACGGGAAGCAGCTTCAACCCCACTGCTCTGCTCTGGGCTGAGTCATGAGCTTTATCAGAAAAGACAGCGACTGTCAGGCTTGCTTTTGTCCCTGTCACTATTAGGGTTTGTGTGTCTGTGTGTTAATGATAATACACTTTATACAAAGCATCTTTGTTACATGAAATGCATCTTAAAGGACATGAATGGGAAGAAACAAAACAAGCAGTAGACTTAAATTAGAAAAAGAAGCTTTAAAAATGTATTTTAAGGATAGCTAGTTTATTTATTTTCATAGCTATGGGTATCGCTCTTACGATCAAAAATAATATTGTTCTTACCACTGTTTATTGATCGCATTTCCAAAAAGGCTAACAGGGCACAATGACATAAACAGTCGGAGCATGCGGGTTTTAAAAAAAACCCAAGTTTGTCCAATTTACAAAACTAGACCTAGATAATCTGGCTAACCTCTTCACCTGATGAGTTGTAATAAACTGAAAGCATCTTTTAAATCTTAATATATTCATCACAATATAATGCAGACCCCACCCCATTTTAACAGAACGGCAAGGAGTAAAGTTCATGTCTGCTGCTGTGACACAGTACGCTCCATGCATCTTGCAGACATATGCAACTTTGGCTACTAAATATCAAAACACACTGGTATTGAATTGATCCATCCCCTGATGTTCATGAGGAATTGTGTAGTGTTTTGCACTTGTGTGTGTGTGTGTGTGTGTGTGTGTGTGTGTGTGTGTGTGGCAGACAGAAGCCCATTAGTCCTGCTCATAAAACACTTGGACCTTCACACTCTGCATTGTCTTTCTATCCAGTCTGCCCCTCACACCTTACACATACATATTTTAAGCATCAACATTTCCCTCACTTGTGTCTTTTCCTTGTGTCTTAGCCCTGGAAAAGATGAAAGGGAAAAATTAGAGGAGAGAGGAATCAAGGAAACAAGTAATTAATGACATGAAAAATCCTTTCCTCCAATCCTCCATCTGAAGCATCCAGTCACCACTGATTTCTGATAAAGGGGTGTGGCGGTTCATAAAAGACTTCCGCAAAGGATGCTCTCTTGTATCCTTCCTCATGGCTCCTACAGCAGTCTCATTGCTCCTTAGAGCAGATATAAGAGTCTTGGGACATCTTTGATCCCCACTCGGTCTGGAAGTTGTTCTGGTTGAGCGAGGAGTGAAGAATGATCATTTGAAAGACATGGGATGTAACCCATAGACTTGAGCACCATCTACAATATGTCTCTGGGGTTCAGCAAAAGATGACAGCTAGAAGAGCACTAACTGTTTTAACACACTCCTTCCTGTCCTCACCCTGTCATCTCTCATAGGTCCCACCTCTTGCTCTCTGTACCCCAGGCTCCCACACATGCACCTCCTCTTCCACTTCCTGCCCTCATTCCAGCCTCGCTCCTCTCTCTGTCCCTCTCTCCTGACTCACCCTGCCTCCTAGCTAATAGTGCCTGACTCATGTTATTCTCTGAACTGTCTCTGTCAAGGGCAGACTCAGAGGAGAGAGGTGGATTGATAGGGAGGGTTGAGAAGGAGTCATATCAGGGAGGGAGAGGGCGGGATGGGAGCACTGGAGGAGATATGACTGTGCCTGGGAATCTATTTTTGATATATCATCAGATAGATTAAGGAACTGGCAGAGAGGGGAGGAGTGATGGAAGAAGAAAGAAATGAAGTGAAGCAAAGTGGAAGCAAAACCAAAGTGGTTGTGATCAGCAGAGGAACAGTGTTTGAGTGATCAAATATCTGAACCATCAGCAAACATTTAAAAGCTCTGGACTAAAAGCTGTGTGTGTGTTTGTGTCTTTACTAATGGAGTTATTCTGACCTTAGCTTGTTTGTTGAGAACTGCTTCAGTGAAGTGCTGCTGCTGCAGCTGCTGCTGCTACAAGGCACAACAATAGGCTTGATGACTACAGTGAAATATTTATTCCTGAGCACTCTGTCGCTCTTTATGGCAGTTTTTCACCAGTAAAGTTGGTTGAACTTTAGTTCACTTGGTCACTTGACCACTCACATCTCATCCCAAAGGAGTTCTGCAGCATCTGTCACTCACTTGAACGCTGCATCTTCCTCTTCTGACCTTAATTTCTTCTTCTTACAGCACATCTGCCAAGTCAGAAAGACAAGACTTAAGTACCTTCAATCCATCATTCTGAATGGTCCCCATTATTCTATTTTGAATATCGAGTGCAACAGCAGCATGTAGAGACATCAGTCTCTTGCCACAGGGCTCAAAATGCTTGCAGGACTTTTTGTGTCTTCTCTACACTGAGAGACATTAGTATTGGCTATTTATAGTCAGCTCACTGCCACCCTGAGGAAGAACTGTGGAGGCTAAATTTCAATGTGGCTCTATTAAAAAGTACAGAGTGAGATGTCAGCAAAATACTTTTTGTTTTATGCTCATGGAACATACTTGTCATAAATGTGCTCAGTCTGTTTGCTTAGACAAAATAAGGCAAATAGGTTTTAATAAATCATCATTACCATAATCAATTTGAAGCCTTTTCTAATTTGTTCCCTCTCTTCTCCCTGCAGCGTGTCTGTTGCAGTCCGAGCTGGTAAACTATGAGAGAGTAAAGGAGTACTGTCTGAAGGTACTGAGCCACCAGAGAGACCACTTCAAGGCCATGTACCGAGCCGGCATCGCCTTCTATCACCTGGGTGACTATGAAAGTGCCCTACGCTACCTGCGTGATGCCAAGAACCGTGAACCTACAGGTGAGAATAAACTGTGCTGTCAGTTACACTTACACAAGGAGCGGCGTAACAGAAGAGACACTGTGTTAATGCAAGTTAATGCAGAGCTCTTTATATTCAAGGTTATAAACTCACAAGTGGACTTACAGAACACAACAACGAGACTATTTATAATGTCTACAGGAAATCTGATAATTAGCTATAAAGTATTATTGCACATTCCAGACTTGAGTACCTGAGCCAGAAGAGTGAAAATGGTGCATGGTGGGATATGTAGGCACCACTTAATTGAGTGGCTCTGAGCAACATGGAGAGAGTTGATATTCTACCGTTAAAAACCTATAAATAATGGATCTTTTGTATGCTGATACCAAACAGTAAATAAATATTGTTTTTACTATTTCTGATCCTGAAATCTTTGAAATGCCTTAGATGTTTATGTTGGGAAGTAAATTGTAAAAGGTTAAGGAAATATGAAGGGTAATATATAAGTAAATTAGTCAAACAGAGACCCTCTTTTTGGTTTGTGGTTCAACGTTTCTGAGAGTGGTTGGGTCTGTATATATGGTGGTACTTGTGACCTTCATTATTTTGAAAAATCCCGTGTTCTTGCCAGACTGAGGGTTTTTGAGAACACAGTTAGAGTATGTTTACATTTAGTGGTTTTCACTCTGTGGGGCAAATTTCAGTCCTTGTGTGCCTTTAATTTTTAGACATGTAAGAAGCCTAAATTTAGCCACATTAACCAATGAGATTGGATTGACTAAAGTAAAGACGTGACTCCCCTTTCTGTTTCACACCCATCACATTTTCTGTTTCTCTTTCCATCACAGACACCAACGTGCTGCGGTACATCCAGCTGACAGAGATGAAGATGAGCAAGAGTGGACAGCGGGAGAGAGAGAGCGGCAAAGAGACCCAGGGCTAACCCTCGACCTTGTCACCCTCCTGCCCTTTGACCCCTCTCTCCACCTCCTCTATCAGCTCCTGACAGCAGCACAGTCCACAGACAGAAGAGACAGACCCGACCACCCAGAGAACAACAGAAGACATATCAAGTCTGTGTGCAACCTACCATCCTTTACCTTTCTTTCCCTCTTCTTCTCCCCCTTCCTCCCTCAGGTGCTGGGTTTCCTCTCCCTAGATGCGCACAGTCAAGCAAACACACACAACAAGAAAAAACAAGGATAATGCTGTATTATACTCATTGTGGTGGAATGAAAAAGGAGCTTCAAAACATACATATAAATAATGGACTTTTGCGTGATTTAGTAAATGTTTTAAAACCATCAAATGCATTTGGTTTCTGCTCTGTTGCTCTCTCCTTTTCTCTCTGCCTTCTCTGTTTCCAGCTCTTGAGGAGAATATCAGGGTTGGGAAGCTCATCCACACTGGGAGTAGGGCAGGTGTGTTTGTGGAGGAAGTTTGAAACATAAGCAGGGGATAGTGAGGGGTGTGTGTAGCACATATCAAGACCCTAGCAGCCCAGTTTGACTGTACATCCTCCTCCAGCAGGGCTCGCTCAGGCCCCTTATTCAAACTATGGGAGAGACTAGAAATCTATCATCAAGTAGAGAAAAAGCCTGTTGCTCTTCTGTCTCACTTTTCTTTCCTGGATGCCATGTATCTCAGTTTCTAGACTGTTTTTTCAATTCAAGGGCTAATTCAAGCATTTGTAATCCATTAGTAGGATTTTGAATTTGTTTTCAATGTTCATCATACTCAGTAGTAAGTACTGGATATTAATAGCATCTCTATGTGCAATACTGTTACCAAGTGTGTGCTGTTGTGGAAAATGGTGTCTTGACTCTGTCATCTAAAGCCCCTCCTGGGTCATGTGCCGTTGCTGATCTTGTTGAGACTGTCAAAGCCCCTCCCTCCCTCCTATCACCTCCCCTCTCTGGTCTCCCATTAATGATGTCACAACGGAAAATAGCCAGTGGGATCGGAGTTCAATCAACTGCCGTTGGCTAGGTGGAGATTTACTCTAAAGTTTCACAGCGAGAAAGACTCAGAGGGCTGACCTTTTATTGCTAATGCTGAAGCTTCCCAGACAATGATAACACACTGAGGAGACTCTGGGCATAGTTAGTGCAGGGAAAACAACCACACACATCTGTCCTGACAGTCCAAACCACCATGCTGGAGCACTCCACTTTAGTCCACTTAAGCAAAAGTGAGCCATTTGAGATTTCTTTCTCTTTCAGTTTATTGTATATAAATAAATAAACTATCTATGTTTGGAGAATTGTTCCCAACATAGAGCTGTAAGAACAAAAAACATACATCATGAGCATTAGAGACTGTGGATGTCCATGACTAGCCGTCAAAAGAGCCACAAATAATTTTCCACTGCTTCTCTTGTGACTTGTGAAGCCAAATCATTAATAATGCAAATATTGCCTTTATAGTAGCTTTACCACAGGCTAAAATCTGCCTGCCCTGTTCTGCAGAAGGTTGGACTGATGATTTATAAGAGCATGCCCTGAATTTCCCTCATTTCTGATGGCATAAAACCCAGTTTCCTCTTTCCCATGTGCACCTCCTGCATGTAGCGCTCCAAAGGGTTATGGGATAGGGACTGTACCTGCTCTATTGCTTTCAGTCATGGCATGCTGCCACTAAACTGTTTGCTCATACCTCTATTTTATCCATTCTTCCCCTTACAACCACAGCAGTAGTGATCACAGCAGTAGAACAGGTATCAAATACATCTGGAAAAGGGGAATCTTTTTTAAATTAGGGTCACCATCTGGTGAGAGATAAGAGAAGCTTAAGCAATTCAAAAAGAGCTGGAAGAGGCAATCAAAGAAAGACGCTGTAAAAAATTCCCCTCCCCGTTTTCTTATCAGTGATCTGCTAGGAGTAAAATAGGGACCTAAATGTGTCAGTGGGACTCTGGAGAGACTGCACCATGCATTGAGGAGACCAGCATGATACAGAGAGGCTCCAGTGGAGGGAGAAGTAGGCCGTCATGAGTCCCAGTAAAGCAGCTGCAGCATTACTGTGGTAGTGGAAAAACAAAGATATTTTTAGAGCTGATTTATCATCTTACACTGCATGGCCAAAAGTATGTAGACATCCGGGTGATACAATCTCAAACTTCAGCCTCCTCTGAAGTGTTTTTGGGATCTAGTTGCAGTGATTTGCACTCACTCAGCCACAAGTTCAATGGGGATGCTGCATGATAAGGCCTAGCTCACAGTCAGCGTTCCCGTTCACCCCAGAGGTGCTGGATGTGGTTGAGGTCAGGGCTCTGTGCAACCAAGTCAAGTTCTTCCATACCAAACTGGGAAAACATTTTATTTACAGAAGCACATGACTGTCTTAAACAGTGTCCCAGCTTTCAGTTTTAATTAATCTTTTTTTTCTCTTTTGTTCCACTGTGGGAATTTTGAGGGCACTGTATAGTGGATAAATATATAAATATCACCCTCACATTTTAGACTCAAATAAAATAGTGGACAGATAATTAGTGTGCTATATAGTGGGAGTGATTTCAGACTTTCTCACAGCAGATATTTTGAACTGTTATAGCAGGAGACGCACAGGTGTTACAACATTACCAGTGTTTCAGAACTTAATGCAATGCACACATTTCTTACACTTGTGTTTGATGAGTGAGAAAGTAGGCTGTAGGTCTGTTCAACTTTACTTGCACTCAAATGTGGAGGGGTGTCCACATAGTTCTGGCCATATAGTGTATCACTATCATGAAATATATATTATAACAGTAATATATCTTACATGGTAATACATGGTTTACTAGTCTTAATGGCTGCTGTTACATGTATCTTCTTTGTTTAATCTGTACAAACAATCAGGTAGTTAAACAGCAACTTTCTACAGGGGAGTTATTACTGTTTCCTGGTCAGGACTAGTTGCCAGGCAACTAGTGGAATAAAAAGCATTTCCCAAAATGTTGCACTATTGCTTCAAGTTATCTTACTGTTCTTGCGGAGTGAAATAAATTCAGTGTCCCCTGCTGATGGTAATGTCACTGTTGTAAAGCACCAGTTATCATAATGTGACATTCTCAAGATCACTGAGTGGAAAACACCAGCTTTTGTCAGTAACCCCCTACTGTGGGGTTGACTGGGGCTAAATCATCAGCTGCAGACACCCGCCTCATTCTTGATGAGCCTGTGTATTCTGTGTTTTCTCTTTGTCTCTCTCTGGCCCTGGTTTCCCAGAGGAGATAAATCAACAAACAACAGAGAGGAATGACACCTGCAGGTTCGGTCTCCATGGCTGCCTGAGCTGAGTCTACTCACCCCCAAGCCCCTCGGGAGATAGGTCTCCTTCCATGTTCCTCTCTCCATAGCACCAGGCAGCTATCTTGTTTTTGCCTCGCTGTGCTATGTCATTCTAGCTCATTGTGTACTACGACCGTCTAGGGATAACTAGCTGCACATAAAACCGGTCCATTTCTGGCTGATTGGTTCTTGATTAATGGCAGAGCTGACTCAGAGGCAGTTATTGTGAGCATACGCGCTGTCTGTGCAAACGGAGACAGAGACACCTGATCTCTGTGTCAGTGTAGCTTTGAAACAAACAACAAAAAGCACAACATAAAAGAGAGATGGAAAAGTAAAGCTACTGGCTGTGTTCTTTTTGCTCTTTTCCTTTGATGTCATTTGAGGTAAATGTTTGTCAAATGTCAGAGTACTTTTTGTGAATATATGATACAAATGTATAAAAAAATACAAAAATGGAACGTTTTATGGTTTACATTACTGAATTACTTTATGAATGGAAAAGAAAAGCAACAGAGAAAAAATTCTACTGTAGCTCCCTACAGAGCTGCTTTGTGACTGTGTCTGTATTTGTTGGTACTTCTGCTGACGTCCCTTTCATCAAGGGTTCCAGAACCTGCACAGAGTATGTGCAGTGCCCTTTGACCCCACTCATGTGTTTCTGTACAGTAAGAGGACCGGTAACAGGAGTGGAAGAGAACTCTGCCGCACACCTCCACCCTGCTTCTCTCTGTGTTGATGGAGACAAAAACAAAGACATGAAGCCGGGGGGCATCAAGGCTGCGACTGCATTTCCGTGTCGCCTCGTTCCCAAAAGGCCGTTTTTTTTCCATTTAGCATCCAAACATCCAACAGGCCTCCACAGACTGAACTGCTAGCCTGGGAATGCACTATTGATTGGTAAATGAAGATTATGAATAAAGTATCAAACAAAGAGGAACATTGTTGTTGCTGCTGTTGTATGTTCAAAAGTCACCACAGTTAAAGGGATACTCCACTTATTTTACACACCTAAATGTGTTCGCTCATTTTGGGGAGCAGTGCAGCATATGTGAAAAAAAGTGGTGTAGAGCCTTTTGTGGCTCCAGACTACAAGTTTGAGAATAAAAAAGAACATGGTCAGTGTGGAGTTACTAAGAGAAACGGCTGCCCGCCAAGATCTTGGTTCTGTCTGAGGTTTTTTCTCCTGTTAAAGGGAGTGTTTCCTCCTTGTCACCAGGTGCTTGTTCAGGGGCTAGCTGGATTTTTCTCTGTAACACTGTAAGGTTTAGACCTGACAATGTAAAGTGCCTTGAGACAATTTGTTGTGATTTGGTACCACAGAAATAGATTTAATTGAACTAAGTTGAAACTGAGTTTACCAGTAGCCCTGTGCTCATCTCTGTATGGGCCAGTGGCCTCAAAGCTACATTAGCCATCACTAGCATGACAACCCAAATATCCATACCTTAGAGTGAATCATGTCAAGTGGCATTATGGGTAATGTGCTAGCACTAGGTTTTACAAGGCAGACAAATGTGTGGAGCAAAAAAAGGTTGATATCTTTGGTTTTGTTTGCAACAATATTAAGCCTTTTTTTTCTTTTTACTGTTCACAATGAATGTATGTAGTGCCCCTTTGTCCCTTTGAATGGAAAGTAATGTTGGAGTGTGTGGATATGAAAGAAAACAAAGAGGAGATAATTTTGCAAGTCTTGTCATAAGCACCTGAGCCCAGCCTGCTCAGGTGTATTTCATCAATAACAAGCTCTCAACCTTACCCTCTGACGTCTTGGAACAGAGCAGAGTGACTAGATAACACAAACAAAGACTGAGCCAGGCCTCAGGCTGACAGCAAGAGATAAAACAGCAGAGGTGACCATATCCACACTTTTACTTTGGCAGATATGGTGCTACCAATAACATGCCCCCTTTTTGAATGCAGAGCCCTTCAGTCTGTAACAGCAGCTTTTTGTTCTACTAAACAAGGATGAGCTGAGATAACCAGTGACAACCACAGCCAGGGCTATTTCTGTCCTTCAGAGCCACAGATGACATTATTCAGCTGCTTTCACAGGCTCATTAGTGCTGTCTATGAGGAGTAAATTGGCTTTGATATCTGAAACTGAAAGAATGAATGTGTAACTCATTCAATCATGTTAAAGTGGTGTCACTTAGCTCAGGTTCATTATAATGTGTTTGATTCACAGATTATTTTAGTTCGAAACTTGACTTACGGTGTAATGACCTGCCGAAACGGATCATTTGAGGGTAGGTTAACTGGCAGGCTATCTGATTAGTTGGCCACACAGAAGGTTCCAGGTTCAGGCTCCAGCTGACACAGTCCCTTTCTGTGTGGAGTCTGAATGTTCTCCCTGTGCCTGCGTGGGTTCTCTCCAGGTGCTCCGGCTTCCTCCCAAGACATACAGTTTTGGTTTATTGGTGACTTTAAATTGTCTGTGTGAGTGTGTGTGGTTATTTGTCTACATGTCAGTCCTGTGATAGACTGGTGACCTGTTCAGGGTGAACCCCGCCTCTCACCCATTGTCAGCTGGGATCGGTTCCAACCCCCACATGACCCTTGTTAGGATAAATGGTATAGATAATGAACGGATGCATGGCCACTCAGAACTACACCAACTACACACACTGTATAACTCCCTCTCTATCTGCCTCTTTCTGTTTGTCTCTTTCTTTTTCTCATCCTCCCTTCTGAGGAAACCATGAACTGAAAGGTGATAAACATGTGAGAGAGTCATCACACACAGCTGTGTTTGTGTGTGTGTGACAGAGAGAGAGCTGTGAACCTGCCACGCGACACACAGCCTGCTGAATTCTCTCTGCTGGTCCTTTAGCAAACACCTCTCCCTCTCTTCCTCACTTCATTTTGAGGCCCATCATACTTTTTTTAAACCATTTTCTTTGTTGTTGCTTTTAATAGCATCACCATGGAAGTGAGGAGAGGTTGCTAGGTAACTGGCTGGCGTCTGGATGGGTGTTTGATTGGCGATCACAGTGACAGACACAGCAGTGGAGTGTGTGACAATTTGTGTGTGTTTTGTATCATGTGCACACACTGCATGTATCTGGATATGTTTTTACATTCAAAGGTTGCCATGTCAGTGGAAAACACCCCACTCTCTTTGACATTTAAAAGACTTTCAGCTCTAACCTCTTAAATTTAACTGCACTCATTGCATGACTGCACCTTAATCTGCCTTTTATGGTAACTGCGGTGACAAGGAGCGACTACAGAAATGTATTAGATGGAGGAAAACAGCAGGCCTGGAAATGATATGACATCATAGGACACAGTGGTGACACCTAGAGGATTTGATTTGTTACTGCTGTGGCCCTTGTCTCTGTTGGTATCAGGCACTAACCACAAATTCAATATAATAACCCTCAGTGCTCAGAATACATTTGCTGGCACTTTATACTGATGGACAAATTATAGTTAAACAGATTATGAGACAAAGGAAATTTATAATCCTACTTACGTAAAAATACATACTATATCCACAGTAAAACGAGTCCTATAGCGACATAACCTGAAAGGCTGCTCAGCAAGGAAGAAACCACTGCTCTAAAGCCGATATAAAAAAGGTAGACTACAGTTTGTAGGTGCACACGGGGACAAAGATCTGACTTTCTGGAGAAATGTCCTCTGGTCTGATGAAACAAAAACTGAACTGTTTGGCCATAATGACCATCGTTATGTCTGGAGGAAAAAGGGGGAGGCTTGAAAGCCAAAGAACACCGTCCCACCTGTGAAGCATGGGGGTGGCAGCATCATGTTGTGGAGGTGCTTTGCTGCAGGGGCACTTCACAAAATAGATGGCATCATGAGGAAGGAAGATTATGTGGATGTACTGAAGCAACATCTCAAGACATCAGCCAGGAAGGTAAAGCTTGGTCACAAATGGGTCTTCTAAATGGACAGTGACCCCAGCAGACTTCCAGAGTTGTGGCAACATGGCTTAAGGACAACAAAGTCAAGGTACTGGAGTGGCCATCACAAAGTCCTGACCTCAGTCTAATACAATATTTGTGGGCAGAACTGAAAAAGTGAGACAAGGAGGCCTCCAAACCTGACCCAGTTCCACCAGTTCTGTCTGGAGGAATGGGCTCAAACTCCAGCAGCTTATTGTGAGAAGCTTGTAGAAGGCATCCTGAAACGTTTACACAACTATTTAAAGGCAAAGCTACCAAATACTAACCGAGTGTATGTAAACTTCTGAAAGAAATAAAAGCTGAAATACATCTTGTTCTCTACTGTTATTCTGACATTTCACAGTCTTAAAATAAAGCAGTGATCCTGAGCATGAGAGAAGTGTGGAGTTCGAATCACTATCATAGTTGTGACTGTTAAGTCATTGTAGTTTGAAACATGATGAGGAGATACAATCAGGTTAGAGCCGATGATATGTTGTTACTTTTCAACAATATGTTTTTATGTAAACTCTCAATCTGAAACATAACTAGCAAATGTAGTGAAGTAAATACTTCCCTGTTGCTCTGGAGTAAATGTGCACCACGTGTGGGCATTTTACTCTGTTATATTTATCTAACAGCTGGAGTCTCACATTAAGATTTAACCTAGACCAGAATCTTTAACACAGTGGTTTCTGGCCTTTTGGTTTGTAAATCCGTTGCTCACTAGACCCCCTACAGTAGTTACATTTCACATGTCTGTGAGTTGTTAGCAGAGCATGCTCTCCTTCTCACATCCTGTAGCTTCATTTAAATAATGGTGCAAGGAGGTAATAACACTGATTTGCGCAGCATAACTTTCTTCTTTAACCAAATCAAATCAGCCCCTTAAATCAGAAAAAGAAAGTGAAACATACTGACAAATACAATTGTGTTAACTGAAGAAACATTTCTCTTTTCATCATTCATCATATTTTCTTTGTCTCTCTCTACATGCATGTACAGGTGTAAAGAAACTGAAACTAGCTCCACCTTTATTCAACTACAACAGTAAAATGGTGCTTATACTTTGATGCATCAGAATAGGTCTGTCACAAGCACCATTTTACTGCTGAACGAGCATTTTAACTTTTGATACTTTAGTTACATGTTGCAGATGACAATTCTGTGGTTTTAATTACAGTTTTGCATACAAAACCTTTACTCAGGGTGTTTTTATTGCTGCTTTTACTTTAAAAGTGAAGGAGCTGAGTACTTCTTTCACCGCTGCTCAAACATGATCTGACCTGATTATTACATCATGTCAACAGAAACAAATGTAGCAGCGACACTGACGCGTCTCTCCGTTTTTTATTCCGCTCTCATTCATCACATTTCACACTTATTCTTCACTAAACCCAAAAATGTCACAGGCTGAGACTGGAGAAAACATGGACATTTCAATAAGCAGTTTCCTAGATTTGTTTTTCTTCCTGTTATATTAACAAATACATACAGATATCCTAGGAAGAGCATTGTAATAATAATTAAGTCTTTCCAATAATAACAATAAATTTAATAAATACTCAGTGTTCTTAACCACACAAGGAGAATGAGTCGGGCTCACTCTTCTACCAATGGGATTGTCATCATCCCATACAAATAACACACACACACACACTCGTATTCACACTTCACACACTCACCTACAGAAATCTGCACAGTCAAGTCAATGCCATGTGCAAGACAAACTGTTCATTGTATGAAAACAGCTGATTTTCCAGCTGTGACGGGAGCACTGTGCGCAGAGTCCACCGGTCCACACAGAGACTAACTGGCTGCACGGCATAGCTCCTAAAGTGCCGCTGATGTTGGACACAGCAGGTCAGAGGAGAGAATATGAAGCTTCAACAGTCCTACATGAACATTAGGTTGATGTTAAAATCAGGTAGCACGTTTCCCTCTGTGTTTCCTTCCTCCTGTCCATTTGTAGTGGCGTAAACGGAATCGATACGGAGCGCTACTGGCTGCTAGCAAGGAATGGTTTCATCAAAAAAAATGTGTGAAAGACAAACAGATGAGAACATGTTCAAGAAGCAGTGATCTAACATGCACTGAAAAAGCACCAGCACGCAAAAAGGAACCCATGTTGTTCATTCACATACATATATAGGAATATATATATATATATACATTCACACAAAAAGA